ATATTTATATAAAAAATAATTCTAAAAAGAAATAAGAGAAAATAATTTATTTCTTTTTTTTACAGATAATCTTGTTTATGCTGTTCACTGATGTCTGATTGTAATTCTTTAGTTTCGAATAATTCATTATATGCATCTAAATCAAAATCTTCATCTATTGCCGAATGAAATTTATGTTGATTTTGATCTTCTTGTTCTGGTTCTTCATCAATTATTTCTGAAACTCTTTGATCTGTTTCATTTGTTTGTGATAATAAATATCTTTTATACCATATATCACTTAAAAGTTTTAAATCACGTAAAAATTTCATATCATAATTATTAAAATCGACTAGAAATAGAAGTTTTTTTTTTTTTATTAAATACATTAATCCTATTTATTATATTTACATTCTAATTTTAATGCTTTGAGTGCATTGAATGTATTTATTGGATGTAAATGTATATAGTTTTTAATTATTGTCATCATATCAATGATACGTTTGAGACGATCAAGTTTAAGAACATGATTAAGTAATTGAGAAAGATCAGTTGCTGTTATACATAATTTTTTTTCTAAATTATTTTGTACATGATGTTTTTTTACTAAGGCATTTTCTTCTGATTTAGAAATTTCCATAAATTTATTTACCTAAATAAGAAGTGATTATAAGACTTCATTGAATTATTTCTTGGTTTATGAATTCCAATCATAAACACTAGACAATTTACAGAGACTGGATGCATATATTTTCTTCTAATAAGCCTGATACTTTTTCATTATTCTGTAAATATGCAACCATAGAGCTCATTCAATACATCTCACAAACATCTATAAAACGGAACAATGGTTTTTATAATATAGCCTTCTCTCCAGACTCTTCAGTAGAACTAAATCAAAAAGCAGATTGTACAGGCTTGTAGATATTGATGTGATGTATCTAATGATAAGCTTTATTCTCAATAGGAACTTCTCAAAGTTGGAACCAAAACAAACCTATCTTGGTTGAGATATGAGTTTTAGTACGATAATGACATATTTTTGAAATACAGTCTAAAATAGTTGTTCCTTTAAAATGTGAATAACTGAACCAGGAAGCGTTCACTCTGGCTCAAATATTAAAGAATTTCTAGTAATAATATGGTATGTCTATGAAGAAAACATTAGCTTGAAATTTCGCTTATTCAGGTTCTCAGGGATCCTTTTCTCGTAGCTCAATCACTATCCAATGGCGATAGTTTCAAACAATAGAAGCAGTTTGATAGTTAGATATGTACTCGCATGATATTTACTTGAGTTATACCGTACTATCTTTTAGCAATTACAAGATAAATGATATGTGATATTAATCACATACTCATAATTAATAACTAATAGAGTAAAATGATTCAATATTTTACTGAAAAATAAATATAGTAAATGAGCATATTTATATTTACATTAAGACAGAATATTGTTTTGGCATAAGATTTAATTTCATCAGGTTTAGCTAATTTACTAACAATTAATAAATCTATAAGATCTTCTAATGCTATCATACCATAACGAATAAGTAATAATTGAAAATCTGCATGAAATAAAATTTGATGCTGTTGAAAATGTTTCATTAATGGTTTTTCAGCAATTGAATCATTTTCTTTAATTAATAATGATATATTATATGTTATATGTCGTATAAGATCTAATGAATTATTAGAATCAATTATATTAAGTTCACGTTTAAATTCAAGATAAATATCATTATTCCAACCACCTTGTTCAACTAATAAATGTAATTGATTTCGTGGTATTTTAGTTTGTATATAATTATGACGTAATGAACGTAAATTTGGTAATAATTCATTGTTTATATTTTTATCTATGATTAATAATTTTTGATTATTTTCGATTAGAGATTTATGTTGTTTAACAAGACTATTATGTGTTAAACGAGATGATATTTGTGTTGGTTTAGAAAATGATTGTATATTTTCATCCATTTTTAAAAGAGCATGATCAACTTTTCGTTGAACTTTTTCTTTTACTATTTTAGCATTTTTTATTTGATCACTTAATATATTTGTTTGAATAACTTGACGTCGACGCATATTTTGATTAAGTGCTAATTCAAATTGTATATTACTTAATTGTTTACGATCAAGTATATTAATTAAGAATTGTTCTTGAATGACAGTTTTATATTCACTTGATTGATTTTTATGTATATCTTCATTAAGATACTAAATTAAAATCAACGTTATGCATGTTTTTTTTTTTCAATTTATTTAATAGAAAATTATTTACATCTTGTAGAAAAAAATCTTTCGCTGATTGAATTATTTGTTCAATAGTAAGAAAACCATGACGTAGAATATGTTTATAAATAATATTAAATTTTTCATTTTCAGTATTTGTTTGATATTGATTAAGAATTTCTCTTGTATGAATTTCATCAATATAACCTTCTTTTTGAATTAATTTAATCATCATATAAAAAAGAAATATAGCTTGAGCTTCAGGTGTAGTTACTTTTAATTCATAACATTGATTCATTGTATAATTATTAGCAAGAGATTGTGAAATAATTTTTGAACGACGTAATTCATTGACTATATCTCTGAATAGAATAATTTCTTCATTGTAATATTAATTCAAAAAGTTATTAGCGCAATCCTTTAGAGATTAAATCGAGAAACATGATGTAGTTTTCTCTTGTTAATCAAAGCAAGTTCATATATTATAATGAAACATTTGAAGTCCTTTTCTCGATGGTAGTAGCTAGCAAGATTCTAAAAATACATTTGTGTAACTAACAGGATTTTCTATCAAAATTGTGAAGTACGACGACTTCAGCAAAAATGTTTGGATAAAGGTCTGTAGAATATCAAGACCTCTCAAAACCAACTTTCGGGTTTTCATTCAATGTTTTTAACAGAAAATTTAATCGCTATATACATCAACACCCCTTTCAGATCGTGTTTTATAAAATAAAAGAAAGTCAACTCACAATCGACATGGTATTGGATATGACTCAAGATATCTATTCAGATCATCAATTGTTAATGATGCTTGTTGTTTACGTATGTTTAATAATAATTTAATAACTATCAATTCTTTTTCAATTAATAATTGACCTTTATAAACAGCCAAAGGTTTAAATCCATTAAATAATTTTCTTAATTGTTCATTGATCATAGTTCGATGATTAAAATGAAGAATATAATCAAATATAGTTATTATGATTGTTTGTTCTATTTTATGTCGAAGAACAGAATCATGAGTATACATAGATATATTTCGAGTATAACAATCAAGTATGGATTGAAGTGTAAGACTAGTTTCTTGTAAATCTAATCTTGTCACTAAAACAAATAGACAATCTCATATTAGTACTAATTTTCAAATCTACGTTTAAAAAATCAGAAATTTAGTATATTGAAAGTCTAGATTAGAGACCCCTGAAATTGGTCCCGAAATCTGATATGGGTCCAAAAATTTTGAAATTGACATCCTCTAAAAGGCATAAGATTGCGGACAAGGAGAATTGTACGACAGGAGGAACAAAAGAAGAATCACTGTGGTCGTGCTTGTAAAAAGACTAGTATTACTAAAATAACATTTTTCGTTTCTGATATTTCTCATAGGCTTCTCTTCGTTACAAATCAACAGTTAGATGTTTAGTAAAAATTAGTTATAATTTTAGGTTTACCTCTGCTAATATTTACTTCTTCACTTCTACGATCAGTATTTTGTTGATCGATATTCAAAGCTAAAGAGTTCTTATTAGATTGTTCTTGTATATTTTCTATACTTATATCAATTGATGATTTTTGTTGATGATGCGATTGATCATTTGTATCTAATATTTGTTTAGTAGAAAATATTTCTTGACAAATATATTGAATATTATCATATGTTAATATTTGTTCATAAGCACAAATTTTAAGAACTTCTTCTGTTGATAAATAATAATCCATGTTGGATAATAAAATTTCATTGACTTTCTCAAAACGTTCTTTATTTGAAATAATTCTTATAATAATTGTTGTTAAAAATATAGAATATTTTTCAATAATTGGATCGAGAATATGTAAATGATTAGATGACACTAAGAAAAAAAGAAAGAAATTTTTGTTTGTGTTATATAAGGGAAAGTCTTTCCTTCTACAACATGCTCTCAGATTTGAGCAGATTGTAGAGAGTACCTCCCAGCGATTTGATAATGGAATGCAGTATAGTATGAAAGATACAGACGTTGTGAAACATTAAATTATCCGCTTTAACATCATTAGTTTTCGATGAAATTTTCTATATACAAGTACCTACTCTCTAAGTATTTTGTCTCTAAATTACAGGAGAGTGGGACATTGTATTGAAGAATTATAGAAAAAAGATTAATCAGTGTGTCTAAGTATTTAGAAGAAAAATATGTTACCTCATAAAGGCAAACTTAGTGAATGATTTTTTAAGCAGAAAAAATCTATTTTTGCAAACCTCATGACTTCTGTTATATGTGAGTCAACCTGAAAGATATTG